AACCGCAAGCGGTTAAGGGGCTACTCCATGCGAACGACCTTGAGCATTTGGTGTGCCGCGCCGACTCGCTACAATATAATATCACGTAAGAAATATGTAAGGCGCCACCTACTGTAAGAACGTACGAGGTATTTTTTCAACATCAATAAACTATTTTATGGAAATACACACAGCGTACAACGATAAATGTATCTCAAATTTTTTATTCGGTATATTAGTTGCATTATATTAGAGTTATGTATTCTCATATAATATTATCTAATTATGAAATTTTATAATTAATTATATATTAAAAATGAAGCATTGAAAATTGTGAGTTTAAAAGATACCTACTCACTATAGGTAAATAGATAGATAGCTAGTCATGGATTCGACCCCACACAGAGTGATACAAGTACGTGCATAAATACTATTGCTGACTTTGCACCCTGTGTGTGGCCAATATCGTGTTACTTGAGTAAGCAAATGTAATAGAGTCTGCATGAAAGATGTATTAGAATAAGTTTGCCATTGTTGAAGTACATGAGCTTCTGTACGGACATCTCTTAGTTTTATTTTAGTTTTTAAAAACGCCTCCACCGCTCCCGTTAACTTGACTGGCGCAGCCGGTAGGATCGCCATTTGCTTGCGCCGTCCGCGAAATAAATTCGAATAAAATCGTTTACCGTGTTCGTGCCGCGAGGCGATCCTGCGAACCAATATAAATTTGTCAAGTGGAGAGCAGCTGAAGATGACGAAGGCCGGCTGGTGAGTCCAAATTTTCACCTTCCTTTCCTTGTCATATTATATAGTTTTGTTATTTTGCAATTAGACCTCTTGCGATATAACGTTATCTGGTTTTACATAAAAATCTGTGAAACTTATATTTAAGAATACTTAAACTTAATAACTAACTGCATAAAGAAATACTAGGAATAACTAGATAAGTAAGCGCGTCCATGCAATAACGACGCGATAAGAGCTTGCACTGTAGGAACAAAGCGATTATAACTATTACAAATTATAATTATAGTGTATGTTCGTTGATTAAATTTTTATTGAGGACTTATTTATTTCATATTTTGTATTTTACTTATTAATTATTTTACTTTTATTTTGACTGTGTTTTTGATTGTGAATTTGAATTCTTGTATTAATTATATTATTTTATCGCCGTATTTTATAAAATAAAGTTCTACAAAATGGAAGATCAAGTGCAAATTAAGATGATTCCTAGTGAAATGCTCAAAATTGTACCGATATTCAACGGTGATAAGCACCAATTAAATCTTTTTATTCGCAAATGTGAGTATATATTAAATAAATATAGGGGATCCGATGAACAAAATTTATACGTAATGTACGCGATAACAAGTAGACTCGTAGGCGACGCTGCAGCGCTCTTTAGCGAGCGCGAGGACATTAATTCGTGGGAAGATTTTAGAGAACTGCTAATTCAACATTTTGGAGACCCTAGGAGTGAAGAATGTATTGCTATAGAACTTGAAGGTTTGCGTATCCGAAACAACGAGTCATATTTGGATTTCTGTAATAGGATCCAATCCGTTCGTAGTGTTTTAATATCGAAAGTAAATAGATTAACCGATCCGAATGTAAAGAGTAGCAAAATTATTATATATAATAACACATCTTTAAATGTCTTTTTGTATAATTTGCCAGAAAATATGGTGCGAATTGTTCGCTTAAAAGCGCCAAGTACACTAGAAGAGGCTTTAAGCGTGGTCATGGAAGAAGTCAACTTCCATGAGTAGTATACCTTACGTAATAAATTGTATAGTAATCCTAGTAATAAACTAACGCCACCCAGTATACCAAATAATAATCCTACGTTTAAATTCGGTACAAATAATTTTAATTCAATGGCACCTATGGGCTATAAACCCGAATTAACCCCTAACAAATTTAACTTTGGACTTCCGCAGGGGTCACAATCAAAACTAACTCAATTTAATAATAATCAACAAAATTTTGGATACCGCCCCCAACAATTCGGCTTCCGCCCGCAACAATTTGGTATAAGCCCGCAACAGTTTAATATGCGCCCACAACAATTTAATATGCGTCCACAACAGTTCGGGATGCAACCACAAACATTTAATAAATCTCAACAATTCGGTATGCGCCCACAACAATTCGGTATGCGCCCACAACAATTTGGAAACCAACAACAAAACTTTTATAAGCCCCAACAATTTGGTTACAAGCCTCAGTTAAATAAAAATCAATACACTGGGCCCAGTGACGTCACAATGCGAACGGCACCACCACTTAAAACAAATCAACAAGGCTTTCAGTTAAATGAACTCGACCTTGATAATACGTATTACGATGATACGTGCGGCGATGTGTACCCACTTTCTTATGATAACTGCTGCTATGAGGAGTACTCAAGCAGTGGCCTTAATGTTCCCGAGCTCGATTATTATGAAAATCAATATCCGACAATAATTCCTGAAGTAACACAAAGCGTTCCAACCAATATGGACGACAAGGATTTTCAGGTCGAAGCCTCGGAACTTACGAAAAAATAGAGTTAAATTGTAGTACTAATTTGAGATTGCCGTTTATTTATATACCGGAAATCGACTCCAAATTTATGATTGATACAGGTAGTACGCGATCATTCATTAGTCCATCAAAGGCTTATAAGTACTTTCCAGAGTACATAAGTCACGAACCATTCGAAGTCATTAGCACACATGCATCGAGCAGACATGATCAAGTTATTCAAATCCCGTCTTTACCAATTTTCAACTGTAACGATATTCATAAACTATACATTTACAATGTCGACTCTAGGTACGATGGCTTAATTGGGAATGATATACTTTGCAACCTAGAAGCAGTAATAGATTTAAAAAACGAGATTCTTAAAACTAAAACTACCGTAATACCTATAACACATAGTAAATCTTCTTACGTTTTGGAGTTATCTCCCCGTTCCGAGCAAAGAGTCAAACTCCCAACAAATTTATATTCAGGTAATGCTGTAATCGATTATAAAGAATTCTGTAAGGGTGTGCGAATGCCTAGTGGGTTAGTGAGATGTAAGGATGGTTATACGACTACAGTAATCCAGAATACCTTAGATATACCGATAAAATTAACTATAAAAAAACCATTGAATGTAGAAGCATATGAAGATAGTAAAGCGACTAAATGTATAGTTAACCATATTACAGATATGTCAGATATTGAAGTCGATAAAATATTAGAGCAAAATTTAGAGAAACTACGCTTAGACCACATGTCGGAAGAAGAACAAAAATCGATATACCACTTATGTAGAGAATATAAAGATATTTTTTATAGCGATCAAATACCTTTATCTTTTGCTAATGAGGTGAAACACTATATTAGAACAAAAAACGAAGACCCTATCTATGTCAAACCCTACAGGCAACCTCCCGCACAAACACAGGAAATTAAAAACCAGGTACAGAAACTATTAAATGATAATGTGATTCAGGAATCCTTTTCGCCTTGGTCAGCCCCAGTCCATTTAGTTCCCAAAAAGAGAGACGCATCTGGTGAAATGAAGTATAGGATGGTTATCGATTACAGACGTCTAAACGACATAACTGTGGACGATAAGTACCCTTTACCCAATATCACTGACATTTTTGACAAACTAGGTAAGAGTACTTACTTTTCAACCTTGGACTTAGCTAGTGGATACCACCAAATTGAGATCAACGAATCAGATAGACAAAAAACGGCATTCAGCACAGAGAACGGACACTATGAATTCCTGCGAATGCCCTTTGGCCTGAAGACAGCTCCAGCCACCTTCCAAAGAGCCATGGATAACATCCTAAGAGGCTTACAAGGAATTCATTGCCTTGTCTATCTTGATGACATAATTATTTTCTCGAGTAGCCTCCAGGAGCATTTACAAAAATTAAGGACAGTTTTTGACAGATTGAGATCGACTAATTTAAAAATACAACTTGACAAATCAGAATTCTTGAGAAAAGAAGTGCTATACCTAGGGCACGTTATTACTAAAGACGGACTTAAACCAAACGATGATAAGATTCAGGCTGTATTAAGCTACCCTCCTACTACTACTCCAATACCCAGATCCAGACAAACCTTATGTTTTAACTACAGATGCTTCTACTGTTGCTTTAGGTGCGGTCTTATCGCAGGGGACAATAGGATCCGATAAGCCCATTGCCTACGCCAGTAGAACTCTCAGCGACACTGAGACCAGATATAGTACAATAGAGCGTGAACTACTCGCCATAATATGGGCCGTAAAACATTTTAGACCATACCTTTACGGGCGTAAGTTCACCATATATACCGACCATAGACCACTAGTTTGGCTTTACTCACTTAAAGAACCGAACAGTAAACTGACCCGTTGGCGTTTACGTCTTCAAGAGTACGACTTCGATATTGTATACAAAAACGGAAAACAAAATAGTAATGCTGATGCCCTCTCTCGGATAAAACTAAATGCCATAGACTCTGATGACTCACAATCATTGGAAGTAAACCTGGACCCTAAAGAACAAAAACTGCAAAAATATCTGACAGAATTAACTGACCAAATTGTGGACTTAACGACTGAAAACAGGGACGACTCTAGGACAATAACTATAACTGACACATCCGCCACTGTATCCGTCGACCAGTTAGAGACTAACACGAAATACCCGTTACCACCTATATCCTCTGATAGTAGTACAGTAACTGTGCATTCTGGACAAGATCTAGAATCTAATGGTATTCCGATATTAAAGGAGGCCATTGACTCAAAACCAAACCAAATTTTAGTTTATACCTGGCATAAAAATGAAGTACAAGTAAGAAATTTATCCAGGGATAAACAAAAGGTTCTCGAAGTTTTTGCCCCACTTAAGAATGAAGATCTTATTAAAATTTTCTTAAAAGAGTACATTAAGCCCAAGACTAAATATTTTATTTATTTCGAAAACATACAACATAGAAAAGAATTCTCTAAAATTATTATACAGCTATTTAAAAAGGGAATGGTAGAATTTATTGAATGTACAGAGCGTGTTATATATGTAGAAGACGAGAAAGAACAAAAAGAAATCATACTGCAACATCATGAGGGAAAGACGTGTCACAGAGGAATAAAGGAAACAATGAGTAGAATTAAAAGAAATTATTATTGGCAGAACATGCAAGAGACGATTGCTGCAGTACTTAATGTTTGTGATGCCTGTAGAAAAATGAAATATGAAAGAAAACCCATTAAACCATTACTTCAATTAACTCAAACCCAAAACGCCCCCTTCCAAGAAGTTTTCATGGACCTTTTTTCAATTGAATCCGTTTATTACCTAACTTTGGTTGACGCATTTAGTAAATTAGGACAAGCTATCGAAATCCCAAATAGATCCGCACCGGAAATCGTAAGAGCGCTTATTAAATATTTTTCAATATACGGAACACCTAAAAAAATAACTTCTGATCCCGGTAGTGAGTTTAATAATGATCTCATTAAGGAACTTATGACTATGTATAACATACTACTACACATTACCACTCCTAATAACCCGAATTCAACAGGCATAATAGAGAGATTCCACTCCACAATTATAGAGATATACAGATTGGCGAAATACGAACGAAAGTGTACAGATGCAGCTACTGTAATGAGTTACTCAATTATGGCTTATAACCACACCATACATAGTACAACCGGCCTTACTCCTTTCGAAATCGTTTTCGGTCATACCGACTCTAATTCAACGTTCACCGCGAATTTCGAGAAATGTTACACCCAACAACTATTAAAAGATCATGCTAAACGTACTAGATATCTATATAATTACATATCGGATAAAATCTTAGAGAAAAAGGAAAAGGTAAGGGAACAAAAGGGCGGTGAAACAGATAGAAATTTTAGAATAGGAGATGTTATATACGCCAAGGAATCTAACATAAGAAGAAGTAAAGACAAACCGCGATATAGGAAAGCTGTCGTTAGTGGTAATATAGAAAGAAATATAGTTCCTGTTAGGATTGGTAATAGAAATACTTCAGTGCCAATTAAAAATATTAAACGTCCTCCACAGGTGGTGTATAATAATTCTGACGATGGTTCAGAAAGGATGGGCCCTTCAACTTCGAAAACTTGAAAAAAACCCAGGGATCCTGCCTGTCAAACTGGGTCGTGCCTCATTGCAAATAGACAATTGGCTTATTATTAAAACTTTAAACTTAGAAGGTATAGGTAGTGATTTAGATTTTAGTATATTAAAGTATGACGAATTCGTTGCGTTGATAGATGTTAATAAACCATATATTCATGAATTTTTAGCTATTCGAACACATGTAGGGTATTTAAGAGATGCTACTATAGAAAAATTTCGGCAACTTGTGCCATCGAAAAGATTTAAAAGAGGCATTATTGACCCGCTTGGGTCTATGATAAAAATAGTAACTGGAAATTTGGATCATGATGATGCCGTCCGATATGACTCATTGATTTCTAAACTAAACGATAATCAGATAATGTCGGATAAGAGAATTACATTAGTCTCCAAAATCTTGGATAGTTTCATCAACAGTACAGAGACCTTACATAACAATACTTTAATATTAGATGAACGCTTGAAGAGAATTGAAAGAATTGTTAAATTCCTAATTACAAAAGAAGAAAACTCCATTTATTCTACCTATGTCCTAGGTATGTTTGACATGTTTTTGAGTTATTTTAGAACTATTAACGTAATACTAGGAGAAATCGAAACTGCACTAGCATTCAGTAAGGTATCTGTTCTGCATCAAGCAATTTTTAACTCTACGGAATTGTTAAATTTATTACAATCAATCGCGATAACTGAAAATCTGTTATATCCTGTAAATGAAAATAACTTAGTTAAACTAGAAAATTGTATTAAGGTTAAGGCTTTTATAAAAGGAAACCAGATCACGTTTATCTTAGAGGTCCCTTTAGTAGGGAATAAAACATATAGTTACTTCAAAATGTATTCATTGCCAATTGCTATTGCAAACAAAACTATTATAGTTATTCCCAAATACCCATATCTATTGGTGAAAGAAAAGGAATACTTGCCAGTCCCGAGAGCCTGCAAACAAATTGCTTTGGATAATCAATTCCTGTGCAATACCGACGATGTGCTGCTGCATACAGAACAAAGCTGCGTGGAACAGCTCATGGAGTTTCAATCAAACCTCGATGCCTGTGAACAGCATACTGTGGACATTGAAGATCCCAAAATTCAACGAATAAGCCACGAAAGCTGGATACTGTACGTGAGAAATCATAGAATACTTACCAGAAAGTGCGACAATGACGTCACTCATGAACTTTTATGTGGTACTTACATAATCACCGTAGACGATTTCTGTGAAGCCGAAATTGGAAATATTCATTTTAAATACCACCAATCTTCTTCAGATGACCTAAATTACCGAATTTACCCAATGACTAACTTGCCAGAGCTGAAGATTTCGAAGCCTCCCATTGTCAGTGAAGTGAGTTTAAAAGGTATAAATCTAGACGAAACTAAACAATTACTTCAACTAGTAAAACTTAGCAAAATAAATCTCAGTGAAAATGCAAGTGCTATTAATGTTAAAAGTGTGAGTTTAGGAACGATAATTTTGTATGTAATTCTACCAATTATTTTCTGTATTTTTATTATAATTAGACATAAACTGTGTGTAATTAAGCGAAATCATCGGATTCCTGAAAATGCCGATAATTTCGCTCTTGAGGAGGGAAGAGTCATGGATTCGACCCCACACAGAGTGATACAAGTACGTGCATAAATACTATTGCTGACTTTGCACCCTGTGTGTGGCCAATATCGTGTTACTTGAGTAAGCAAATGTAATAGAGTCTGCATGAAAGATGTATTAGAATAAGTTTGCCATTGTTGAAGTACATGAGCTTCTGTACGGACATCTCTTAGTTTTATTTTAGTTTTTAAAAACGCCTCCACCGCTCCCGTTAACTTGACTAGCTCGCCTTTTGTACAAATATTTGGTGCAATAAAGAATAAATAAATAAATAGGATGTTTCGCAGAGTGAGAGTAATATAGAATGAGAGTCGTGGAGGCAGTTTACAAACATAAATTGCACAAGGACAAACATCCAGACCCGGAACAATTAATTGTAGGCCATACAAATACTTGTTCCGTGCGGGATTCGAACCCGCGGCCCCCAGTGCAACAACTGATTGCTAAGCCAGTGCGCCACGGAGCCGTCGCCGGTTTATAGCTAAAGTGACCATACGTCCCGTTTTGAACGGGACTGTCCCTTTTCTCAGTCACCTGTCCCATTGTCCCCAAACAAAGCTCCGGGACACAAAATTGTCCCGTAACTCGTTGGATGGAAGTATTCAAAGTCAACAATCTTCAACATAATTTTTTTTAATCGAATATATTTTATGTCTCCCTGGTACAAATGCTCCAGTAGAAAGAATATTTTTTTTATTTTGAACAAATTGTGGACGTCTGAAAGAAACACTTACGGTTCCAGTTCTAAAGGCGATGTTGTTAAAAAAGGTAACCATAAAAAAACTTAAGCAGAATTTTATTCTTATTTAAAATTATCACCAACTTTATTAAAGCAAATTTAATCCACTGACAATTGTAATTAATAATTAAAAAAAATATGTTGCATTTAATAATTACCGTCTATACCGAATATAATTTTATATTGAACACTAATTGTGTAAAGTTATAGTCTTTAGAGTGTAAATAAACCCATGTCCTGTTTTGAGTTAAAAAATAAATGGTCACTTTAGTTTTTTTTAGTTAAATTTAGTTTAAAAAAATTTTAGTTTATAGTAAAAAGTAGGTATATTAATACCTACTTAGATACTTTTTACCGAATTAGGGTAGAAGCCCCTAATACCAGTCATGCCCCTAATTGCAGTCTTTTCGCCTTTTTACTCCATAAATAAGATTTCTAGTAGTCTTAACTACAAATATTTTCATCTAAAAAATTCTTTGTACCTAGAGGAAACTATATTTATTCAAATATTACCTCGCAGTTTTAAATCAAAACAGGTACGCAACGAAAAACGATCATTTTCCTAATTATTTGACAAGTTATGATCCCGGTAAAATTATGCTTACTTTACATTATCTCATATATAGGCTTTTTGATTTGTATGAATATGACTATAGACATAGTAATGCAGTTATTTTTGTTTGAATTTACAACTTATTTATTTTCTTTTAGTGGAAATTAATGGGACTGTAATTAGATATTATAAGAAATGTATGGAGTGCATAATGTCAGCCGCCCGGCTGTTATTTGGTTTGACGTACCTAATAAGATGTACCTAATTTCAGCCACGTAATATAAATCAGAGCTGCCATAAACTGGAATAAATACCATTAATTAGATCATAACTTATTTTATAGCTAAGGGAGTTATGATCAATTCGTCTGTTTTAAAATTGGTTTTAGATTTTAAAGTTTAGCAAAAGATGTACTAGCTTTTCTCTCTGACATTCGGCGTATAGAACATCTTATGTACTCAATTATTTTTTTTTTTTTGAAAAAGAAGAAAAAACAAGCAATAAATAAAAACAAAAACGGGCCAAAAACTCATAACTGACTTTTTGACAAGACCCGGGATTCGAAACCGAGACCTCATGATCAGCACTCGCACTACTACAACCACTAGACCAACGAGGCGGTACTATACCTGATAAGATATTGTGGTTGGGTGATAATATTCAATTAGCCTTTTATAGTGTAAATTATAATATTTGTCGAAATTTTAATTATGGATTCGAACCTTACATGCTGGTGCTTCATTTTTTTATTTGCATTTACTTCAAAGAAAATACACGCAAAAAGCTTCATCGCGCAGTAAAAAACACAACAAATATATATATATATATATATATATATATATATATATATATATATATATATATATATATATATATATATATATAACTAATACGAAAAATTATACCCAAAACAAACAAATAATACTACCTATAAATAACCTAATAAGTAATATTATTATCGACTAATATGACGTGAGTGTATGTGCTGGTCGACGCTCTAACGACACGGGCTTCGCGTCGAAGAGCTCAGGGCTCACTGACTTTAGCAAGCCCGTGAGCAGTGAATATGCCCAGATTTTAAAATAAATTCTTAATAAAATCAAATTTTGGTCTTTTGAAAAAAAATTTTCTATAGAAATATTCATTAATAAATTGCCTATCCATTGGTGTAAATCGCAAAATAAAATAATACTTACTTTACGAGGAGATGCATGTTATCAATAATAATTTCACATTTATGTGGTTTCGTTGTAAGGAGATTATATTAATATTTATTCCTTTAAAAAAAAATTGGATATAGCTTTTATGGAGTCAAGATTATGTAGAAATATAATGTGTTTTTTATTTGTTGATATATCTTTTAAATAAAAAGTAGATAGCTTCTAAAAACAGCACAAATAACGACTAGCGCGACATTTTGCTCAACCTGCGCCTTAATGGTCGTTATAAACTTTCGGCCTGTGTATTTAAAGCGGTTGTACCACGGAATCGTTGGTAAGTCTGGCTGTAATTCTGCGTACCATTTTCCCGGTAGTAATGTTCCAGTAATCCTTCCACAGTTTCTTTGACAAGATTTTAAAGTGTTGATAATAATCTGTGAAGGGGACTTTACAATCTTGTGTTTGGTCTTCGTGGTGATCTTGCCGCGTCGCCTGATCCACTATCTCATTTCCGACTATGCCACTGTGTGAGGGAACCCATAAGAATTCTATAAATTTTCCAATCGTTTGCAGCTTATCCTTAATTTTATACAAAATATAATTCTGTTTATATACTAAATTACAGTTACATAAAGCAGATAAAACACTTTTAGAATCACTAACTATCAAGATATTTACACTATTTACATTGGTATTTACATATGTCAAAGCAGCTAATATAGCCCAACTTTCTGCTGTAAAATACTACAATTACTTGGCAACTTAATACATTTAATAACTTTCATTTGTGGGTCATAAAATGCTGCTTTAACAAGATCACTCTTGGAGCCATCAGTATATATAGTGTAAAAGTCTTTCTTTTCATTTAAAAATTCTAAGAATTCATTCTTAGTACTAACCGAATTTAAATGACATTTTATATCAAGATAATTAAGTAATGTATCATATGGGCATTTGTAAATAGGCCACTTGTTACTGATGTACATATCTCTTGTCTGATTCTTTACACAAGTTGTTATTGTTGTTATTTCAGGCAATGTACCCGAAATAAGAGTATTAGCCGAGATGTTGGCTGTTCCATTTAACTGGGAGACTTCTGCAGGATATAAAATATTACTCAGGACAATATCATTGTTACAAGACAACTCCTTCAAACAGAATCTTTCAGCCAACTGCAAACGCCGCAAGGACAATGGAGGTATGCAATTTTCAACTTCCATAGAAACAATAGGAGTGGTGCGCATGGCTCCACTGATTATTCTCAGACCCATATTCTGTATCACATCCAATTTTCTTAACAATGTGCTACTAATATTCATGTAAGCTAGAGAGCTATAGTCAAAGTGACTCCTTACAATACTTTTATACAGCATGCTAAGTGTTTTTGGATCAGACCCCCAAAAGGTTCCTGCTAAGCTTCTTAGTACATTTATGCTCTTCATGGCATTCTGACAGATATAGTTGATATGCTTATCAAATTTCAGTTTATCATCTAGCACAACTCCTAAAAATTTATGATGATTGGCTATAGGAATTGTATCATTATTATAGTTAATTTTAATTCCAGAGTTTACAAATTTGTCTTTACTGAATACTAAAACTTTACTTTTCTCAGAACTTATTTCTAATTTTAAAATGTTGCTATAATAAAGATGCAATTGTGCTAATGCAGTATTAATTCTATTAATTGCTGTATTTATATTCTGGTTTTCACTGTATAAAAGTAAGTCGTCTGCAAACTGTAATATTTTAACTTGTGATGTATCTACATAATTAAGTATCTGAGATGTGTATAAATTATATAACAAAGGTGAAAGTGTCGCTCCCTGCATTGTTCCTTTGTTAACAGGCCTAGGTCCATGTAGTTTATTGTTAAATTTAACAAAAAGAGTCCTATCATGCAAGAAATTTAAAATCCAGATTAATACATTTCTTGGCAAGCTCAATTCATGCAAAACTTTTATGAGGCATTCAATATTAACATTGTCAAAGGCACCTTTAACATCTAAAAATACACATATAACATTAGAATGACTAAGTTTGGCCTTTTTAAGTTCCGATATCAGAGATACAAAGCTTTCAGAGCAACTTCTGCCTTTTCTGAATCCAAATTGTATGTGAGGTACTTTATCCTGTGTTTCAGCAAAATAATCTAGACGCAACTTTAACATGATTTCAAAACGCTTACCTAAACATGATGATAAAGAAATAGGTCTGTATGATGATGGATCATTAGCAGCTTTATTTGGCTTTAAAATGGGGATTACACATTGGGTTTTCCATGACTCTGGTATAGCTAAATTATTCCAAAGTTTATTATAAATATTTAATAACATTTCTTGCGCATTAGGATGTAATTTTTTTATTAACATATATGGTATGCTGTCCAACCCTGGTGTTGTATCTTTCCTACTTTTGAGTGCTATGTACAATTCATTTAGTGTGAATGGTCTATTGAGAAATGAGTTACTTTCATTTTCAACAGATTGATCTAAAATGTCATTCAAATAATCTTCATTTAACTGTGATGAGTCTGTTATGTTGTCTAAGAAGCTTGGTATCCAATCGTCAGCCAAATATCTGTTATGAGAAGAACCTATCCTTCTAAACCTTTTCATGTAGTTCCATATTCGAGAAATAGGTGTCATTCTATTAAAACTAGTACATAAATTGTGCCATGAATTAATACTTTCTTCTTTTAATATCCTTTTCTTTTGAGCATCAAGTTTTTTGTAGTTAATGAAATTAGGAATACTAGGCGATTTTCTATACTCTTTGAGGGCCTCCTTAGACTTTCGAACAGCATCATCACATGTTTGGTTCCACCAGGGTGCAGGTTTTCTCATTACCCTTAAAGTTTGTTGTGGTGTTTGCTTTGGAACAGTCTCTGCTCTAATATCATACAAAATATTTACAAAATTATTATACAAATCAATAGGTTCGGTACCATGTATTTCTAAATTACAAAATCTCGTTTCTGATAGTTCTTGATATTTAGACCAATCTGCTTTATTATAAATGTATTTTTCTTCCACAGGACGCACTTCATATACAGAAGGCTTCACATTTAGAGCGACCACAGTTGGGTAGTGGTAACTGCCCATCGGGTCGTCATGGACGTGCCATTCACAAAGAGGAGCTAATGCGGAACTAACCAGAGCTAAATCTATTGCCGACTGATTTCTGTTAGGATACTGGACAGTTGTAGCTATGTCACCATCATTCAGAATACACAAGTCAAAGTCATCAATAAGTGCATATAAACTGTTACCTCTATTATTATTTTTCTGACATCCAAACAGGATATGGTGAGCATTAAAATCTCCCATAATAAGACATGGCTTAGGAGTTTCAAGTAGCACCTTTTTCATTTTGCTTGTAGCAGACCTGCTGCTATTGGGAGGACAATATACACATAGAATATGTAACTTACCCATAGTTGTGTCTACGGAAATGCAAATATTTTGCACAGATTCGAAAAAAGTTGTATTTACAATAGTGTATTTTAAGTTTTGTTTAATTAATATACCTACTCCGTTATGTTCATTTATTGAGTTTTTGTATATAAAATTATAGGGTGAAAAATCGGGAATTGTACTAGTTGTTTTAAGCCAGGTTTCATTTAAGAGACAGATATCTATATGTTGTTCCGAAAGAAATTTTTTAAGTATGGCCCTTTTGCTCTGTAAGCTCTGTATGTTATATTGTGCTATATTCAAATATGTATCCATTATATTATTAAATTACTTAAAAGTATGTCTTTAATTCTTTTATTTGTAATCGGAGCGCTGCTCTCGTCATTGCCAAGCATAACTAATGATTTGACTAGCGCATTAATAATTAACTCGTTGTTTAGTATTTGCTCAGCATTATATGATACTTTATTTATGTCAGTATCAACAGTCTTTACAGGTTTAAGGTTTGGGAATGCTTTCGGGTCGGGCATTGCTGGGATACTCACCACAGTGGCATACGATCGGTTTGGTTTCAAATACTTATTCTTCTTCTCTTCCATCTTTTGTTGCTTCACTGGACAGTTCCTAGAGATGGCCAAGTGACCACCATGACAGTTGATGCACACAGTTTCTTCGACGTCGCATTCTTTGTAGGAGTGTTGTCCAGAGCACGAAGAACACCTTTGAGAACCTCGGCAGACTTTTGCAGAGTGATTAAACTTCAGGCATTTGTAGCACTGTAGTAACGGAGGTATGTATATGTGGACCGGGTATCTGAACATCTGTATGTAGGCGTGCTGCGGCAGCGCTGTTGGAGCGAAGGTCACTGCAATGGTCCACAGTGGAGTGAGCTTTCCATCTACCTTTCGCATAAATCTCTTGACGGAGATGACTTCTGCATCGCAGGTAATGCTTTTGTATATGTCTTCATTGCTTAAGTCTTTAGGTACGTATCTTATGACTCCAGTAATTTCAGTGAGGTGCGCCGGCACGAACGCTTTCAATTTGTGTTTTCCTAGAAAGTGTGTCATGGTAAGGAAGTTATTGGCCGGTGCTGGTTTTCTGAACGTTATGCCCACTTTATATGCGTTCACTCTGTGGACGCCAGCGATTCCTTTTACATTTTCCGTAAATAACTTTGTAAGTGCTATTGGATTTTTGTTACCGATTTTTTCGTTTTCTTGTGATTCAACGTAGACTACGCAGTCTACGCTGTGGTTTTCTGGGAATTGTCGCGTGTAATTTGTTTTTGTGAAAATTTTGTAGTCGACGGCATTTCCTTTGCGAGTATCATGCAATTTCCTTTTCTTTGATTCTTGCTCGGCGGGGGCCGGGCCCCCGTCGGAATCTGGACCCATTGTATTTACACTATATATAGGTATGTACTAATTAACTATTTACACGGAAATTTACAAAAAATATACAAAATAAAAAGAAATGAAAATTCAGCAAAAATTAAAACACCCGCTTAGCTTGACTTCCCGCCGAAACCGAATCTCTTGACAACTGAACTCAATTGGCAGAGTTTCCACTTACAATTTTGGTTTGTCCCTATTTTTTTTAGGATTTATCCCTAAAATTCCCTAATGGATCTTAAAAATTCTTATTTTTAAGGAGCATATGTTTATTCGAGAAATTAAACAATAATTTATTATTTTGAATATTTATTAATAAATCAACAAAAGATCAATCACCAAAAATCAGATCAGACAGAAGATTTAGAAGCTGAAGCATTACTTTTGTAATGTTTTGCTGCACTTATCATGGCACTGTTGGGCTCTAAAATTGAGCAATTGTTTGCTTGCATTCCGAATTTTGTATGAAACAAGCCGTTCAGAGTTTCGTTAGATAGTCTATTTCTTTTATCTGTTTTTACATTTTTTAAAATTATAAATAATTTTTTACCTCATATTTGAAGATGGAACTGGTAGTAAAACTGAAATAACTACTTTAAGATTTTCGTAAATGAAATTACCATGATAATCTTTCATGCTTAGAAGAACCTTATTCCAATAAATGTCAGCTGGCATGTTTTTTTTTTAATTCTTCTTCGCTTTCAACTCCAAAATGGTTTAAGTTTATAAGAGCTTGATTTCTCCATTAGTTATCTGCTTTTTGCATGTTGCATTTTGTCGTTAAAAAGTTAAATTCATCAAACACATCTTTCACTGATTGTTTCTCCAGATCAGAGTACAGGGGATTCCCTTTCAAAAATGAACCGTGGGTGGTGGCACCATAGAGTTTGTACATACTATAACAGGGTTACCATCATAAGTTTTGATTTTTCCCCGAATGTCCCTAAATCCCTGTCTTATTAAAATAGTCCCTAGTCATGTACAATTTCACTTAGTTTTCCCTAAAAAAGGGAAAAATCCCTAAAAGTGGAAACACTGACAATAAGTAGTGTAGAAGTAGAAAATTAAAATCCATTTCCATTTCAAATATTCATTTATTTATTTATTATTATAGGTTAATATACTACTAAATAGGTTGATAACTACTAAAGCTAATAAAATACTCAATTTTTGCAAGTTTAGAAAATAAAACTAAATTTAAAAAGAAAGAAAGTTGTAAACGTAGACAATAGACAGAGAATACAACATACTCCCTCTACGGTTGTAAATAATATATTTTCTAATGGCTCCAGTACACGTTGGCCGAGTGCGCTTGGCGAGCGCGCTCGGCAGATTTTTGTGGTGCCGTTCACACGTTGGCGTGTTTCATTCTGCGTTGGTAGCTAGATGATGATGGACGTTAGGGCAATCGCGGCCGCTGTCATATACTTATACAGCGCTTCACTCTTCTCAGAGTGAACAAGAAAAAAAACTACACATACAACAATAATCCCAGTGTGTCCTTTTTAGGGTTCCGACCTCAAAAGGAAAAAAGAAACCTTTATAGGATTTACTAGCTACTCGTGCCCGCTTCGCTGGGGGTTTTTTCAAAATAAAAGATAGCCCAAAAGAAGCCCCTAAGCTACATTATCCCTGAACAACATAAACGCAGAGATAATTATTTATAATAATATTTATCATTAGGTAGGTACTCTGAAATCGCAACTAAACATGTATTATTTAATGCAGTTAGGCAAGTTCCTCTGGTTTTATTTTTATGTTGCTCATGTTTGGGGTTCCATATAACTGATTCATTGTGAGGATCAATCAATGAACAATGAATCAATATTTACTCCATAATTATTAAATCGTAATGTGTTGGTATGCATATAAGTAACATTAAAAATATATTATATTGAATTATATATTTTTTCATAATATATGATATTTATTTATACATGCGTATATATATATGTGTGTGTGTATGTATATGTATATATTTGTATTGTATATGTATATTTATGTAAGTGCACACTTTGACTACCTCTATTTCCTTCAACTATCCTTCAATATGCCTGCTGGAAGAAATTTCATCATGGAATAGGCAGTGCCTTTGTACATAATTATGTTTTTACCATTTTCCTATCGAATTATGTGTGTACATAAACTGTTAAATAAATAAATAAATATTTCCTCATTAGTCCATGTCGCCATGTTGAAACAATTTTATCAAGCCGACACTACAGTTTACTCCGACGCGTAACTATGAACTGAACACTCGGCCAACGTGTGAACACTGCTTGCGGCTTGCGCCAAATTCCTTTGATTTGTGCACGGAAAACCGACACTATACGGCTCGTCGGCGAGCGTTGGCCGCAAACGCCAAATATATACAAAACGGCCCAGTACACGTTGGCCGAGTGCACTCGGCGAGCGCGCTCGGCCAACGTGTACTGGAGCCATAAGATTTTCGGCTTGGATGCTTGTTCTTTAAGCCATGTCTTCATTTTATCTTATTGTGGCACTTCACATGGCTATTTGTATTTGCGTATTGCTGTATATGACAAATAACTTCCATGTGTGGAGAGTATATTTGCCATACTTATTGCCGTATTTGCCTATTTGGCAAATATAGCCAATAACAAATACGGGTTACCGATGGTCTGTCGGTTTTTCAAGGCTCATCAAAGGAGACAAATAGGCAAATACGCACAGACTTAGAAGTATATGGACTGGACATACCTACAGAATTAGCGTGACTACCTAAACAAATCTGGCGCGTAAAATGGCCGCCTTTTATAGGGTTGTAACTCAGCAATATGGGCAGCTGATATCGATATTTTTACTAATATGAGTTTGATCTTATCTATACAAATAAATAAAATTGAAGTGTCTGTTTGTGATGTTAAAATAACAGCTTTTTACTAAATGCATATGAATGTGTATACGGTAATTATAACAAAAACACAATTTTTGAAATTTTTGTCTGTCTGTCTGTTTGTTCCGTCTAATCTCCGCAACGGATAGGCCGTTTTCGACGGTACTTTCACTGGCAGATAGCTGATGTTCTAAGGAGTAACTTAGGCTACTTATATTTGAGAAAAAGAATTAGGATTCTGAGCAATATAATTAAAACCCTAAATTACACGCGGGCGAAGTCGCGGAGAACAGCTAGTTTCATATAATTATAGAAATTAAATCAATAGCCTAATTGCGTAACACATCTAAAATGGCAAACCATATCAATTTGACAGTTTAACAACATCCAATGCGTGGTTTTTGTTGTCGAGCAAACGAATTT